AGGAGCCCCTAGTAGCTTCTTGCTCCTAGTAGTAAGGCCAGGAGCCCTAGTAGCTTCTTGCTCCTAGTAGTAAGGCCAGGAGCCCCTAGTAGCTTCTTGTTACTAGTTCCTTAAACAATGCTTTTGCTTGGCTAAGAATTGCCCGTCTTTCAAACTCTCCAGTTTCTCCACAGTCTTTGGGTCGGAAGTTGGATCGCTTTGCAGCGCTCAAAGGGGGCCGCATGAGGATGACCCGTCGTTTCCACCCAAAACTGCTCCTGAATTCACTTTTGGCTCACAGCCAGTGAAAAAAGGAATTGATCTTCTGGATCTGCGAGAAACCAACGAAGGAGGAGGTTGGGGAGGTTGGGAGAGCTCATGTTTGACTCATTGAAACTCAGCCAGGGGTGTGCCAAAGCCAGAGCTGATCTTCTTACGCATCGGTGTGCCAAATATACCTGCTTTACACGGAAACAAGGAACCATGGAGGAAAACGAGTGGGCTCCTGAGTATTTCAACCCAACCATATTGCTTTGTGCAATTTGGCTTTTGATAGGTTATAAAGGAGACTCATGGGGGTGCCCCTAACCAGTTCCCTGCAAAACACAGGAACATCCAGTGCTTCCCACACATTTTGAACACTTGAAGTAGCTTTGGCCCGGCTGAATGATACACACCGACCAAACCACAGACTTCTCTTCGAATCAGTTACCCACTTCGCCACCAGGACAAATTCATCCCCATCTCAAACAGCTACAAGTCACGAGCAGGTACCCACTTCCCAACAGCAAAACGCAGCAGGCCACGATCAAATCTAATCGCCCAACGGTTGCAAATCTACAATAGATAAAAAGAAATAAAGAAAGACACCTAATAGCCATCGCCTCCAACCTACTGGCGATGGCCTCCCAGCAGTCACTGCTCTCTCACAGATCTCCACAGACGCCTGTCGCCCAGGATGACGCGCCAGGCGCGTGGCGGCGCGTGACGGCGCCTGTCGCACGATCTTCGTGGACAGCTCCGCATCAATCCCAGGCCTCAGCAGTGCATGTTGCGACATCGAACGAAGTCGAATGGGATGGGCTGGAGCAATCACCCCCGCTTTCCCGAAGTTCTTCATGTAACATGAACAACTCTATCCACTTCTCCATGAAGTCGGTGCTTTTTCTATATGTTCGCTATGAGGTTGGAGGCCATCGCAAGTAGGTTGGAGGCCATCACTTCTAGTAACAAGAAGCTATAGTATAACAAACATATATTTCTGTGTTTGCTGTTGGACAGTGCAAGTCTTATCTTCCAGCTGTTTGTCCGGACTTAAACATGGTACGCCGCCTGAGTCCTTTTCGGCCCACTCTCTCCACACCTCGTGGACGCCGCGAGCGGCGAAAAGCTCCGCTCCGCTCCGGTGTCGCAGCTCGTTTTGTCTCGCTCGGTGTCTGCTTTCGCAGCCGCGGTGTTCCACCCATCGCCCCAGCAGATCCACAGTGAAGCTCAGTGAAGCTCAGTGAAGCTCAGCTCTTCCAGGAAGTCTTGCACTCGGGAATTCCAAGATGTCTTCCAAATGCCTACCTTCGTTTCTGTCCCCATGATTCAAACAACATCTGGCGGACTCTGTCTCAAAGTGTTAGATGCCCTGAAGGGTGTAGTAGCCGACCAAGCTCAACGTTCCGATCCGCACAAACCCCCAAACCTAATAGCGATGGCCTCCAAACCTAGTAGTAATCGCCTCCAACCTAGAAGCGATGGCCTCCAACCTACTAGTGATGGCCTCCGAACCTATATATCTTTAAAGGGTTCAAACTGGGAAAAATTCGACCACTTCCCAAAACTGGATCACTCTTACGTCACTCGTTTCAGGGGCTGGAGCGAAATCGGGTGTTCGGATGACCGAAGCGACCGAAGCAGATCCATTTCACTCCGCTCCGATCACATCGTCGACGCCTCCTCCATGTGGAGTCAGCATGACCGGTGAAACGGGAGTTCGCATTTCGCGCTCGACGGCATCGGGGCCGAGCGACGTCGTGCGTCGAGAAGGACGCCAACACGCGCGTGTGGTTGAGTCTTGAGAGGGATTTGCGATGGATCCCGTTCCTAGGACGAGCGACCTTTTGAAGGAACACAGTTCGTTGTGGGCCCTGACCCACCTGGCCTGCCGCAATGGCACCTTCCCAAGGGAGAGCGAGGACGGGACACCCGAAGAGGCAAGGTCCGATCGTCGGAACCGACGACCCTTTGAACCGATCTCGGAAGAGAAGCGACGATGTGGGACGGATCCCGTAGAAGCCGAAAGAAAGACCTGCGCCTGGGGGGGCCGCAAATTTTGTGTTTTCATCCAGATTCTGGGCGTTTTCTTTTTGGGCCCGGGTCGATTTGGGGGTGAACGCTGGGCTTGAAAAGGTGACACATGTCGCCAGAGAGGTCCCTTTTTTGGGGGTTTCAAACGCACATTCAAGAGAAACCAACTTCTCAGAAAAGAAAGCAACTAGGTTGGAGGCCATCGCAAGTAGGTTTGGAAGCTAGGTTGGAGGACAGCTCCTTTGAGAAAGGTCAGGTCGACCGGAGTGGGAGGCTCGAGACCTTACTTGGCTCTGGAAACCGAGTCCCCACTAGAAACAACTGCGTGTTTCCCCTGTCCCAACCGCTTTGTATGTAGATCTCAATTGCCACTCCTTGGAACAAGGATGATATCTGGAGGGTGAAATCGCCCTTCCCTGAACGGCTCACACGCGGCTACTGAGGTTGCTGATGCAAGCGAGATGCCTTAGCTGTTTTTGCAGTCATCTATGATGGTCGAAAGATATGCTCCCGTAGCTCGTGGGTCTGCAAAACTTAACAAATGAGTGCGCATTTGCAAGCTGTTTAGCCCTTTCTTGCCAGGTATCCTGAAATCAGCGAATGCAACTGTCAAGGATTCCAGTCGGAACCAACCCGAAGAAACCCCATCGGCTCGACATCCTGAAGTATATGGCCTCCAACCTAAAAGCGATGGCCTCCAACCTACTAGCGATGGCCTCCCAACCACCTACCTGCCTTGAATCGAGGAACATCTGAGGCTCTGTGAGATCGATGGCCCCTTGAAGATCGTGGAAGGGTTTTTTCAGCGTCACACGCGGTTTAGCCTCCAAAGCCACGGAACCGTTCTAGTGGATGTTCAGCTTCTGGGGGGCGGGCCTCTCCCCTCCACCATCCCCAAGAGGTGCCTCAGTCGCATCCTCCATTTGGTGCGTGACTCGGTTGGGCTGGACGCCCCCAATTCTTCTGAATGGGACTCCTGTGACTCCTGGGGGAATCTCTCTCGACTCAACAGTTGCAAGCAAGCTGCTTTGTCCTCACTTGCGCTGATACCATAAGATAAAGTGAGGATAGGCCTGGAAGTGATCATAGACGACCTGAGCGGGTTTGCATCGCCTCATGAACACAACCTCTGTGTGAACTGCGGTCACGCTCCGCATGGGCTGGTGGGTCTATGTGGGTCTGATCCTGCGAGATATGTGGAACCGCAATGGCCTCCAACCTACTAGCGATGGCCTCCTACTAGCAATGGCCTCCAACCTACTAGCAGCGAAGTGTCCAAATAAATCGTTTCAATAGTTCGCTGTTTCCATCCGCTGAACTGGGTGCTCGGACCGGAGCTACCGGTGGAAAGCACTGGAGGGAGCGGGTCTTTGTTTCCTCAGCCCTGTGCAGTTCATTGCGCCCGTTCTTCGAGTAAAGCACCAAGAATCACGTGCCTGGATCAGTTTTGTGTTGCGCCCTCGCTTTTCCCAGCAGCCCCCGGTCACCGCTCGCCGCTCACCGCTGGCACGGTGGCTGAGATTCCGGCCATCTCCCGATAGGTGTTGGAGACCTGGCGGTGTTTCTTTAGAGGAGGTCTCAGGTGGTGCGCGAAGTCCGGTGAAACACCTGTGGACAGGCTGAACTGCAAATGTGAAAGGACAATTCAAAACAAACTCACAAATCCTTGTGCCATTGACTTCGGAACAATGCTTCGAAGTTCTCCGGACATTCTTACGTGTTTTTCGGAGCGTGCCGACAGCAAATTGCATCCAGCTCTTTGCTGCTAAAGTACTAAAGGTTTAAGCAGGTGGGCAGGGGATCTAAGGACAGGCAAACCAACCTGAATGTGGTTCAAAACAGTACTGGATACTGGCTTTTCGTGTCTCTATTGGTCCACAGGTCAAAATGGGGCAATCTGTGCGTGTGTTGGAGGGCAACCAGGTTTGCGAGAGTTGACCTTGCCAGTGCAGGGTGGTGGAATGGCTAAGTAAGACCTGACTGGAGATCTAATGGCTTGACATCAACACGTGAAAAAGCATCCCAAGGCCTTGCGGGTCAACAAAATGGAATGGCCTTGCTACTGGACCCCCCTGGAGGCCGACTTCGGACCTCCTCACTTCGCTCCGAAAGCGCGCGTGGCGCGGCACCGCTCGTCCGCGCCTTGATCCGATCGCCTCAGGTCGGACCCGAAAGCCGTCCAGTCCACTCCCGAGTGATCCGTGATCTGGGACCCATAGGACCCGGAACACCTGGGCGTACCTAATAGTCGAACTAGGACTCGCTGAAAAAGGCATGGGTTTTTTTGTGAACGCTTCAGGAAAGGCCAGTTGGTCGAAGCCAGCTTGAAGTGCAATGATTTTTACTGTGGGGTGGTAAGCTGGACCCATCCTGTCCGGTCTGTGGAAGCTGTGCGCACAATTCCTGGACCTTCCCTTCCCTTCCCAAAACATTCCACGAGAGGTTAAGTGACCTTATCGGACCTTACTGGGGTACCTATGGGATAGGCGAACTAGGGTCCTTCAACCTCTGTTGGTTGCTTTCAGGCAGTTTCGACCGCTCGGTTTTGTCAGGTTTTGTTCAAATCCTTCTGAAAGGTATCAAACGTGGGTGGCACCTCTACTGCACCCCGTCAAAATACGCTTGGTGGCAGCCCAGTTTCATCCAAACAAGTGAAACTCGTCCACCTAATAGCAAAGGCCTCCAACCTACTAGCCATGGCCTCCACCTGCTCCAGCATGAAAGCCCTGCCGGGTGGCCAATCACCGAATGGTATGAGCCGCTCATGCAGCTGTGCTCCAAGGCCCGTCGGCCTTGCCCGATCGGTACGCAGCTCCGACTGGTCGGACGTGGCGACCCAGGTTCTGTGGCCGATGACATGGACCAAGCCACGAGAAAGGAATCGATTTTGGCTTGCTTAAGCACCCAAATACGATCTGGCCCATACGATCTGGCATCACACCTTTTCTGACAGAAACCATGGAATTGGATGATGCCCACAGGTGCCATCTTGCCCCTCTTGTCACTTCCGACTCAGTCCTCTACCAGCAAGTCTGCGCCAGCCATCCAAACTTGAGCATGTGAAGAAATGCTGTGCCCTTTGCCCTTTGGCTTCATCCGTTTCGCCGGTTTCGGCCCCCACCGTCCGTCCCAAGGGTCCGGTCTAAGCGTCCGAAGCGTCCGACGCGTCCCCCGGACACCGAGCCCCGCCTGGATCGTCGAAGGGCTTCGGGGCGTCGATGTAGTTGGGACGTCCCAGGATGACCTCGGCGCGCTGCGAGGGCTTCGCTTCGCTGCGAGGGGGTGGTGAGGGGTCCGAGGTTCGGCTTGCGGGGGGGTCGAAGGGTGTGGGCTTTTGGGGACGAAGCGTGGAAGGTCTTTGAAGTCGAAAGAAACAGTGCACCAGGGGGTCTGTGCGAATTCTTGGATCAAAACCTCCACCGCTGCGCGATTCTGGGGGATGGTGCGCTCGCAAGATGCCCATCCTCTCGTCCTGAGGATGAGTTGACAGGGCCATTCCACTTGATGTCGTGTTGATGGACACCATCCACCACCTCATGAACAGGTGAAGGGCATCGCTACTAGGGGCTCCTGGCATCGCTACTAGGGGCAAGGACGCTACGTTCGGGGCTCCTGGCCTTGCTACTAGGAACAAGAAGCTACTAGTATAGCTCCTGGCTTTTCTACTAGTATCAAGAAGCTACTAGTATAGCTCCTGGCTTTTCTACTAGTATCAAGAAGCTAGGTTGGAGGGTGGCTTTCCAAAGATTCCTCCTCCCTTTCGGTGGACGTCCCAACTACCCGCAGACCCCGTCTGCAGTGACCTCTCCGGTCCAGAGAGGTCGGCTCGATCGGGCTTCTTTTCATGTCAACCCCTAGCGATCAGAACTATCAGAACCCATCAACGACCAGATTGCTATGGACTGGAAGTCTCCATTTTTTGGAGCAAACAGTTCTTGAGGATGGTCAGCCGTACTTTTGCAAGCTCTCGCCTTTCGGGTCCTGCGCAGGTCTCGTGCATCTGTTTCCTGCCCCGTGTTCCGCCCCGTTTCTCTGTGCATCTCAAGTGGCTCTCACGATGATGATGGGATACCTGAGGCAAAGGATTTCCACTTCGGTGGTGAGTTGAGCATCACTTGCGTTCGCCTTTTGCCGCTCCGGCGTGGCGTGTCTTTTCCGCACGTGTGTAGAACCACGTCCACCGCACGGCCTTTCCCGCGCCGCGGCGGCGCGGCGCGGGGGGGGTTGACCCACACGGGGAGCGTCGTTCCCCCCAGACATCCGTCTGCGCCTCGTGAGTTCACGAAGACTGAGAGTCTCAAGGGCCCGTGGGTTCCACGATCGACATGAATGGAAGGCGACAAACAGGACCTTCAGTTCGTGACCCTTTCGGAGTCGATCGCTTGTGACCTCTTGAGGGACGAGCGACTGTGACCTCAGCCACTAGGATCTCAAGTTAGGTTACGTACTGAAGGTCCTGGTTGTTGCTTTCTTCCTTGAACCACACACGTTCTTTCGATGAATCAGCTGGAACCTCAGACGTTTCAGCTTAAAAACCTAGAGCCGACTCTCCTGGATGAGTTCATCTATCCTACTGTTGATTGGAACCATGTTGTTTAAAACCTTTTTGAGATGCTTTGGTAAGGGGCGCTGAGGTTCAAATGACAAGATCTTCATCACCCACCGAACGAAGGCTGCTCCCAAACATTACAGGTGGGGAGGATCAAAAACTGGGAGCATCTTTCTTCGTCAGTCTTCTGTGGAAGTGGAGCACTACTAGTAGCGATGCCCTTTGCTCCTAGTAGCGTTCTTGCTCCTAGTAGCGATGCCAGGAGCCCCTAGTAGAACCACTCCACGAGTTTCGACCCAGTCCATTCGATCGTCGCGTGTCGCCAAGTCCCGGAAGACGTGGAAGACGTGGAAGATCGACGTCGGTGGACGAAACGGTCACGTCCAAAGCGTCCACGACCGAAGAAGTTTAAGCACCGAAAAAGGCAGTAACAAGACGCTACTAGGGGCTCCTGGCATCGCTACTAAGAACAAGGGCCTTACTACTAGTAACAAGAAGCTATTAGAAACAAGAATTAAAAGTAATTAGACTTAAATTACATTAAGCACCGAAAAAGGAAGCACAAAGAAGCGGATCTTTGGGGAAGCAGCCCCCCCCAAGAGCCGCCGCAACGCGCAACGGCCCGCGTCCAGTGCTGATGGGCAGCTCATCGTGTTCATTGGGTTGGCAGTACTCATCCTGAGTGGCATTGATTGTTAGCTCATGAGCTCTAAAAATTTGGCTGGAGGCCATCGCTATTAGGTTGGAGGCCATCGCTAGTAGGGTGGAGGCCGTTGCTATTAGGTTGGAGAGCGGGCTTAAAGAAAAACAACAATTATAACGTTGAACTACGAACCTCCGACATCCGCGTTGTGGAGCCGTCGGATGAGATGAAGCAAAACCACTCGGATGCGTTCCAGAACAGAAATCCCTGGTGGCAATGACCACTGCCATATGCTCGTCATATGTATTGTCAGTCAACACGTGTACACGCCCTGAGAACACAGCACAGCCCGTAAAAAAGTTCACCAACACTCCCAAAACAGTTCTTTGCTCACTAGGAACAAGTGCATCGCTACTAGTAACAAGTGCCTTACTGGTAGTAACAAGAAGCTATTAGAAACAATTTTAGCCATGAACTTCACACTCCAACAATTCAGACAAGACAAACCCCTGGTCCTGCGACCGCCGTTTTGGTTCGCCCCTGCCAACGGCGGAACCACCTTTCTCGGAACACCGTCTCTTTTGATCTTCAGACTTGATCCGATTTCAGTTCTTGCAATTTTCTCCATGAGCTGCACTGCACGGGGAAGAATCTTCTTTTCTCCGTCTGAGTCTCAACTCCAGTCGTGGTATCTCATGCATATGTACCAGGCAAGCCGCAAACAAGCAAAAAGAAATCTTTTTGAAAAAAAGATTTCTTTTTGTTTTCGCGGTTGTGAAGGAAGAGGGAAAGAAAAGAAAACCCGGACTAAGAAAAGAAAACCCGGACTCGGACGAGAATCCTGACATGAGTGGATGCGCTGCCATTTTTGTTCAAGCGTGGGCAATGCAGCGCGTGCATGCTTCCGTCATCCTGGCTTGTTTCGCGGGGGAGTGCGCAAGTGCAGCGTTTGACGCAGCCGTCTTGATGCAGCTTGAAGCAGCTATATGTTTGCGCAGCTATGTTTCATGCAGCCGTGCACTATGCAGCCACGCTTGCTCCAGTCTAGGTGCTGCTCTCTTGCCCCTCATGGTTCCAGCAGATGAAGGGGTCTTTGCTGCCTTCGAAGGCCTGCGGGAGGAGTGGGACAACCACCGTCGTTTGCGGGAGCGCGTGCGAAGTCTCGGCCGGCTGGTGGTTGACAAGCCGAAAGAAGGAGAGGCGGAAGAGGCAGGGCAGGTTGTGGCCAAGACGGTGGAGAACATGAAGTACAATGCCCCGGCCTTGAAGCCGATGATGGAGAAGATGCGCGGCCAATTTCATGTCGTTCCTCAAATTGAATCTTTGCAGGCTGAGTTGCAAGCGCTCTACATCTCGGCTGGCCTCAACCCGTCTGGAAAAGTGATCAGTGACCAAGCATGGTCATTGCGGTACTTGTGCAGCCTCTTGAAAAAGTACCTGTACAACAAGACGCCTCCTCGAGTGACTTGTCTCAATGCCCCACTCCTCTGCCCAGTACAATTGTTTGCTTCGATCAGTCCGAGGATGCTTGCACTGGTGAACTCTTGAGAGCATGGGGTGTTGACATGGAGCACTGGACGAAGGCCTGGAAGGCTTGCTTGTCTTTTGTTCTCGCCGCTTGCGCGTGGCCCTGTGCAGTTGGAAACCAAGAAGTCTTCGCCCAGAGCCCGCGACGCAGAGGACTGATTGTGTGTGTGCGTGTGTGGCGTGATGTTCGGCTTGTATTTTCGAAGCTTCTGGCCACCTGTTTGCAATTTTCCCTATTTGCCGTTTCTAACATGTTTGCAGCCTTTTTCTGGCGCCATGTCCGCAGCCATTTCTTGATTGCTCTTGTTCTGTAGCTCTTTTTTCCGGCCGTAGCCTTTTCGCAGCCTTTTCCAGAGCTCTTTGCTGCAGCCTCCCGCAGCATCCCGTAGCCTTTTAAATTCTGCCGTCCTTTCACGCTTTCAACCCGTAGCTTCAAAAGCGCGCTGTACGTGTTTTTTCTGCTGCCTTTTCCTTCAGCTTGTTTTGGCAGGCTTGCCCGCAGCCATTTTTGCATGCCCGCAGCAAATCTGCAGGGCGCCCTTTTGCAACCGTGCGTTGCCCTTTTCACTTGTCCGCAGCCATTTGTACACGCCCGCAGCAAATGCCAGTCCTGGGTGTGTGTGCCAGTCCTGGCTGTTCTTCCAGGACTGACTGGGTGTGTGTGTGTGCCAGTCCTGGCTTCCGTCCATGGACTGGGTGTGTGTGTGTGTGTGCCAGTCCTGGGTGTGTGTGCCAGTCCTGGCTATTCTTCCAGGACTGGGTGTGTGTGTGTGTGCCAGTCCTGGCTGTTCTTCCAGGACTGGGTGTGTGTGCCAGGTTGTTCTTCCAGGACTGGTGTGTGTGTGTGTGTGTGCCAGTCCTGGCTTCCATCCATTGGGTGTGTGTGCCACTCAGACCAGCTCTGGCACCTTTTTGCACCCGTACATTGCCCCTTTTGCTTGTCCGCAGCCATTTGTGCATGCCCGCAGACCATTTGCAGCTCTGGCGCCCTTTTCATGCTCGCAGCTTTTTATTTCCCTTTTCATGGTTGCGCAGCCATTTAACTCGCAGGGTTTCGACAACCATTTCTGCAGCTTAATCGCATCGATATTCCGATGTAACCCGGACAGCCGGCGTGTTTAACCCGGAGCCATTTCTGTCGCAGTTTCTTGCTGCAGCCTTTTAGTCTGGACCTTTGCACTGCAAATTGTTTGATTTCTTTGTGATTGCTTGCTTGCATTTCCCTGTTGAGGAGATGCAGGACGAGAAGGGCGAGAAACCCCCTGCTCCTGCTGCTGCCAGCTGCCCTTCTGCAGAAGCACCTCAGCCCTCCCCACCTGCATCAGAGGATGGTCCGAACGAGCTGAGCATGGTGCGGTTGGCGCTGCGGCGGCAGCACCTCCAAGAAATGCACCTGAGCTGCAGTGGAACTGTATGTTGCAGTTCCCAAAAAGGCGCCCTGTTAGCCCTTGAGGTTGGCTTTGAAGAGAAAAGAGCAGGAAGAGGAGAAGCTGAAGCAGGCTGAGGCTGCTGCTGCTGCTGCAGCGCTTGAGAACCAGGGTGGAACTGGCACACCAGTGGACGCTGCCGAGACTTTAGAGATTGAGGCACGGCTGCATGTGGAACATTGGTCTGTGCGTGTTTGTGCATTTTGCAGCTTTTGTCTAGCAGGAGGAGCCGGCAGGCGTGGACACCGCCTTGCAGCAAGACATGAAGTCAGGCTTAGCAGCTGTGGCACAGGCTTTGACTGGGGCGGACATGGATGAAGGCGATGTGCGGCGGCAGCAGCTGTTGATGAGAGCAGCTGAGAAGCAAAAGGTGGAGGAAAAGAGAGAAGAGAATAAACAGAAGAAGGCTGAAGCAAAGGGTGAGCCCAAAAGGAAAGGTCGTCCACGCAAAGTTGTAGAGCCGCCAAGTGCTGCTGATGCTCCTGCTGAACATGCTGAACCATCGGTGCCAAACCGTGGTGCAGCGAAGAAGAGTGGCGAGCGCAAAGCACAGAGGCCAAAACCTGAAGCTGCCGACGTTGGCGAAGGTGCCCCTGCGGACCCTGTGCCTGCAAAGCGGCAGCGCCGAGCCAAAGCCGACACCTCGGCGGAAGGGGAGGTGGATGAAGCTTGGAAATTGGAGATGCAGGGCTTGCTAGTGGGTTGGAAGGAGAAGGAGTATGACCGCGATACAGAAGACATGCACAAAAATGTCTACGGCAACCTCATCGCAATCACGCCGTATTGGACTCGACCTGCTGTTGGTCTCAAGATCAGGGTCGAGAAGAAGAGTGGGTGGCACCAGGTGGTTTATTGGTCGTTCATTCCCCACATTGTCCTCGGCCTCTGCATGGCTAGGAAATTTGCGACCAAGCTGCACGAGCATGGCGTGGAGTGGTGGGAGACGGAGGATGGCAAGCGCTTCGAGCGCAAACTGCGCCTGAGTGCTGCTGCTGCTGTGGACGCCTACCTTGGCCGGTAGCCGCTAGCCGTTTGAGTCCGTAGCCAGTTCTGCTTGACCTGAGTGGCATGCCTGGCGCTGCCAGTCTGCTGACATTTGGCTTGGAACGGGAGAAAACTCTTGCGCATGGTGTGCGTGCTCGTTCGACTTGTGCATTGAATGCCAGGCGCATGGCGTTGCTTTGGATGCGCCCGCTGCTGCGGCCTTAAAGCGGCCAAGGCGGGACAAGTGCAACTGTTTTATGCGATGCGGTGTGAGAGGGTGCGCTCGGCAAGCTTGCACTGATCCATTGATCGAGTTCCACGGTATAGCGGTTTGGCTCGAAGTGCGCAGACGCAGAGATGCCTAACGGGGGCCACAATCCCTACGCAGACCTTGAGCCATGGGAGCTTGCTGCCATACAAGCCGCTGAGCGCGTGTGGCGCGACATGGGTTCCCCAAAGGGCCCTGGCAAAGGGCATCCAAAAGGGGCGGCTGAGATGAGTGGCAAGGGGGCGCTCGAGATGAGTGGCAAAGGGCCAGCAGCTGAGATGAGTGGCAAAGGGCCAGCAGCTGAGATGAGTGGCAAAGGACAGCGTGCTGGGCAAACTACCGACGGAGAAGGCAAAGCAGCTGCGCCCAGGCCGAAGAGCGCAGCCACCATGCCTCCACCACAACCACCGCGACCCAAGGCGATGCCCTTGCCACGAGGCCAATGGGTCTATGCATGGCTGTGGATGCCAGCACCTGGCTCGGTGGGAGCTGTACTCCCACCACCGCCGCCGGGAGTAGTGCTGGCGCCTGGTCCTGCTCCTCCTGCTCCTGGTGCTGACTCTACTTCTGAAGAGGCAGGGCTGCAATGAATTAAGTTTATAGTTCATTCAACTTCACCTGCGCCGCTCGGCAGGAGGCGGAAGCAGAACCAGAAGATGGACCTGAAGCTCGGAGTGCCTTGCCTTTATGAGTTTTGGTATTTTCAACACTTTGTGAGCTTAGTTGTGACCGTTGTTCATCTGCCACGAGCTTGCGCCATGTAAGGCGTAACACCACGGGAAGCATCGGTGTCGGGTTCCACTCGGTCAGCCCCTGCAGCCCTTGCACCTGATCCTCGCCGAGGAGCTGACCACCAGCGGGAAGACCGGCGGCCACGGACTGACTCTGAGCGCCCTGAAAAGCACCGGCGCCATAGGACCAACAGCCGTTCCCGAAAGAAAAGCGCCCGTTAGGTCTAAAAAGACCTGACTGCCTCTTGAGGACAATGACCTGCAGCAACGCTGCGCACGCAGCCTGGAAAAAAATGGCGCCAGCCCACATGCGTGCATGTCAACAGGACACTTGCCGAAGCCTTTGGATGCAGTTTTGTCTTTGCTCCTGTGCATGTTTTTGACACTTTCGTATACAGTGTGCATGTTTCTTGGCAGGCCCCATGGTGAAGCGAAAATTTGGCGAGCTGCGCGCAGCTGCCCTGCCGCCCGACATCCAGCGCTTGCCTCCTCCTGCAGCTGTTCCCGCTGCGCGGAGATGCCGTACTTTGGACATGTTTGACGCCATGCTCGCTCAATGACAAGACATGCATGCCTTGTGCACCTTGAACGTCCATGGCTTCTCGCTAGCCTTTCTCAGGCCCGAATTATAATAAGTCCACCTCAGTTGCTGAAAGTGCAGCCATGCCCACTTGCGCTGTACCGACAGAAGCTGATTTGGACATGGTGGTGCTGCGCTTGCTATCTGTCAATTGCCCCAAGGCCCGGTTGCCAGTGACATAGCGGACATGGATCAGACCTGTCATTTCGCAGGCGTTTGTTTTCATCGTCATCCTGACTTTCTTCAACAGCAACATGCCCATGGTCACAACGCCCTTCCGGGTGGTCGAACTATTTGCTGGTGATGGCAAGCTCGGCAAAACTGCCCACTATGCTCACATGAGCACAGCCCAGCTGGACATTTGCATGGGGCGCAACTCTTGGAGGAGAACCCGAAAAGCTTTCGACCTGCTCACCCCGGAAGGCATTGCGTCCACTGATTGCATGTGGCGCCGGGCTTTTTTTTTCTCCGCAGCCGTGTTTGCATGTTTGGGTCCGTTCCACCTCTTTCCCAACCTTTTCTGCAGCCGTTTAAAACTTCGCTCTAAGGCTGGCAGTGTGGACATTGATGAATGCTGACCCGGGACACTTCATGTGCTGGATTGCACTTGTGTGCTCCAGCTTCTCCGCTGTGAACGTCCACACAAGCAGACGCACTCCAACTACACCATGGGGCGATGTGAGCAAAGCCTACGTTCGGGCACCTTGGCATGGTTCTTCTGATGTTTTTCGCTGTTTCTGCATGCTCCAGCTGAAGTGACTTTAGGCTGGCAATGCCCTGGCCAGCATCTCCATTCTTTTGGCGACGCTGCGCTCTGCCCTAGGAGGTTGCTTTGCCATAGAACAACCTCGCAGCTCGAGGCTTGTGACATATCCTCGCTGGGAGCGCTTCCTGCATCTTTTCGATGCGCGGCTTTGGTGGGTGGCTTGGTGGGCTCGGCATTATGGCGCCCTCACTCCGAGCCTCAGCAGCAATTCTTATACATATTCCTTGTGATTTCTTCTTGTGTGCAGAGCCACCATTGCGCAGGAAGCGCCATATTTGCTGGAGCAACACTTCACAGATCGGACGCCTCGACAGAGGAAAGCTCAGCAAGGCAATGCGAGAATCTTGCATTGTCAAGACCACGAAGAAGGTGAACAAGAACGGAAAGATTACTTTCAGTGGCAACAAATTTCTGAAGCAAACCCAGCCAGTAACTTAGTGCGCTTGTTAATCTGTTGCGTATACAGTTTATGAGTATTTTCTGTCGAACTGTTGCACATCGAGCTTGCAGGACCCCATTGCATTTGGACTTCGCGTTGTGCGGTGCTTGCCCCACTTTCTTCGGTGCGTTGCCGCTCCTCCACAACCGAAGGTCGAGATGGAGGTCCCGCAGCTGTTTGCGCTGACAGATGTGGCCGACACTTGGCCCGAAGCCGGTCTGCTGGATGCCTGCATGTATTTGAGGGGGTCAAAGCACCTGTTGGAAAACTTGCTTTCCAACTGAAATCTGGCAGGAATCTCCGGGTTTCTAAAGGCATTGGTTTTTCGAAATTGGGCACCCGGAGAAAAGAAAGGAAAACCCGGAGGTAAGAAAAGAACACCTTCGAAAAGAAAGCTTTTATTTTCTCCTGGTTTGGCCGACGCAACCCGGAGAAAATGCCGAGGCGGACTCAGGACGAGAATAGGCGGAGATACGACGAGAAAAGGCGGAGATAGGAAGAGAATCTCGGAAGAGAAAGCCCGGAGATAGGAAATGTATTTTGAAAAGTTGTCTTTTGTGCGATGAAAGAAACATGGCGCGCCGAAAGCCATTTTGCTGTCTCAAGTTCTTTACATGGCTGGGAAGTGGCCTAGCCGAGCCTGGAGCTGTAGCGAAATTCTTCGAGGAGCAGCTCAAGTGGTCGACGGTATGGCGCTTCCTTCTGCTGACGTGGAAGCTTTGAAGCTGGGCCTTCGAACGGAAACTGCCGGCTTGGATACGCAGCAGCTCGAAGCCATGCTTGAGGCATATGCATTTTTGCAGATAAAAGCCTTTCAAAATGACATATACCTTACACCCTAGACTCCTCGACCCTGAACCGTGGTTGGTTCAGGAGACCGACAAGATGATCTCAGAACACCAGATGCGCGGCGAAGTGGACAGCATTGCCCCGCCCTCAGTTTTCGCAGAGTCTGTCCAGCATGGCCACAACAACACAACAAGACTTATGTCAGGACCGCTGGCTTCATGTTAAGCTGGAAGAGCAAGAGGCCATGCTGTTGGAAGATGTGCTCTAGAGAGTGCAGCGCCCAGAATTTGAAACGCTTGGACATGCACGTGGTCACCCTGCAGGCCGGCACACTGCAGAACCAGCCCCTGCCCACACCAGCCCGCAGTTGCGCAATGCCACCGCCAACCGCCTTCGCGAAGATTGCTCATCGGCCACATGTTGGTGCAAGCGCCGCTTGGTCCATTCCAACTTTTTCATTTACTAGGGAACAGAAGCATGTGTCACCGAGGATGGTGTCATCATGCTGGACAGCGACTCGGAGACAGAGCCTGCTCCGACAGCAGCACCTGCTGGTAAAGATTTGGCGGCTTGACTATTTCAAATTTACCTGTAAATTGATCTTAGAATGCTTTGAGAATTCGGTTCCTGGACTGCTTCAACTCTGAGGTCGCTTCGGACACTGAGGCGAAGGCTCCTGGCGGTGCATTTGGCACGCTTGCTCCAGCCGGGGTCAAGCTGGACAAGACTGTGGCTCTGACTGGAGTCAAGCCAGAGACGACTGCAGCTTCTGCCTTCCCAACTGGTGTTGCTACAAGCGGTTTGCCGACTGAGAGCTTGCCGCGCTCAGGGACGAACTGTTCTGGTGAAACGTTGCCTGGCCGAAGTGCTGCAGGTGCAACCCTGCCGGCAGGAGACGCTCCAGGCGAGACAAAGGAGATGGCAGCTACAACTCCAGAAGTGCACAATGGAGAGGCCGGACTCCCAGCTGAGGTCGCCTCAAAACTTCAGGCATTTGAGGATCTGAAGAACAAGTATGATGCGTTGCTTCAGGGGAGACTCCCTGCAACCGCCCCGCCTTCAGTGCCAGACCCTTCAACTGCAGCCATGTCACCAGCAGTGCAGAACCCTGTGTTCACGCCGGAGCCCGCCCAGCGCAAGTCGGAATCGCGCAGCGCGGATCCTCCAGCAAAGGCTTTGAACAAGGACCTGGAAGAGACCCTTCATGAGGCTTTCGATCTGGACCGCAAGGAGACATGCATGTGCACACTTCGCCAAACATCGCCAAAAATCATCGGATCATGGTGCGTACGTCAAATACTTTTGTTGCAGGAGCTCAGCGACCATGCTCTCTACATGCGCTTGAAGCGTCTTTGCACCCCAACCGGGGCAGGGAAGATGAATGTGCCTAAAGAGGTCTTTGACCAGTGGCAGCAGGGCAACCGTGAAGAGCTGCAGCTCGCTTTGGTGAAAGCGTTGAAAACGCACGGCTATAAGGATGACGGTGCCACTCGCAAGTTGGTTCGGGCCGGGGTTGTGAAAAGATGTGCACGTGTTTATTGTCTTCTTTAAGCATTGATGCTGTCTTGTCTCAGCCTGGTGCAGGGGGAGTTTTGCACCCAAATGTTCAAGCTCAAGGAGATGAAGACTCAGAAGGACGAAGAATTGGAAGGTGGCTGGTACACGGAAGAACGCATGGAGCGCGACCTGGGCTACTCCAAGTGGCTAAGCTTGAAGTTAACTCTTGTAAGCGGCAGCGGCACTGGTTGAATGGCTCGGGACTGTGCCCTAAGGTCTTTGATCCAGAAGGTGAAAAACTATTGCTACCGCTTCAAGAGTGTGCTGGTGAGGCCAGAAATGAAAACTAGGTAAATCAGATCTATAGAGTCAATTCAGTGCATGGCCGCAGGAAGTTTCGCTATGACGAGAGCATTGAAGAGTTTTTTGTCCAGACTGCAGACACTGTGAAAGTCAAGAAGTCGCAGCTGGAAGGCTACAAAGAAGTGGGCATGGGGGACTCTGAGGCGTTGATACATCACACAGCGCGCCGCGAACAACTGTTGAAGACATGTAAACCTGCTTGCAGTCCTTCAGTCCTTGTAATTCTGTTGTGCAGGGTATGCCTGAGCTCGAGCGTGGGGCCTTGGTGGAGCTGCCCAAGGAGACGGCTCCTGGATCCCAACCTGTCAACTCTGTCGGAGACTTGAAGCAGCAGCTGGACAAGTTCACAGAATCCCTGCACCAGAAGGCTGCCCAGGTGACCGCGTGGATCCTGAACCTGAATACCTCACCTTTGGATCGGGCGAAGAAGCTCGCAGCCTAGTTGTGACCATGTCTTTCACTTTGTTTCACACGCTGCCATATGATTGCTCAAGGTTTGTGCAAGAGTGCCAGACACTCGTCGACACCTTGGGAGGGTGCTTTGGGGACCTGGCAGAGTGCGCACACTTCTTGGAGGTGGAGAATGTGAGCGATGACAAGAGCAAGTGGCCTGGCCCATTCTTGAAACATTGGTGCATGAGCAAAAGCACAGTTTAAGTGTGACAGCTCGTCTTGCAGGTTCATCACCAAATTTCAGGCCGCCAAAGAGAAAGCCCGGAAACCGTGCCTTGGTCTTTTAATGATGCGGGTGATCACCGTGCAACCCTTTCAAAGCTTTCACTGGGTTCAAATCCTTTTCCGTCCGCTTCTTGCGGCAGCCTTTTCCGCAGATGTTGGTTCATGCCCGTAGCTGTTTTTTCCAAAAGACACGTGAGCCGCAGATCCGCGCTGCTTGTTCCGCATAATCACGTCGATATTGACGTTCCGAGCTTGTTCCGCAGCCTTTTCCGCAGC